TTCAGATTTCATGATACCATTCACACAGTCAAGGCATCCAGTGCCGGAAGCAGCAAAGCAACCCCAAAGCATCTTTGAACCTCCCCCATGTTTGACTGTAGGGACTGTGTTCTTTTCTTTGAAGGCCTCATTTCTTTTTCTGTCAACAGTGCCGTTATGTCCTTTATCAAATGCTCTACTTTTCTCTCATCTGTCCACAGTACATTCTCCAAGAAGGATTGTGGCTTTCTCACATAAGTTTTGGCATACTCCAGTCTTGCTTTTTTATGCCTTTGTGTCAGCAATGGTGTCCTCCTGGGTCTCCTACCTTTTCATTCAGATGGCGACGGATAGTGTGAGCTGACACTGTTGTACCCTGTGTCTGCAGATCATCTTGAATTTGTTTGGAAGTTAATCTGGATTCGGTATCCACCATTCAAACAACCCTTCATTGTAATTTTTCAGTAATTTTGCTCTTCCGTCCATGTTCAGGGAGGTTAGCTACAGTGCCATGAGTTGTAAAGTTCTTGATGATATTATGTACCGTGGACACAGGAGCATTAAGATATCTGGAGATGGACTTGAAGCCTTGAGATTGTCAATGTTTTTTCACAATTTTCTCTCTCAAATCTACAGACAACTCTTCATTCTTTTCTCCATACTCAGTGACACACACAACACAAACGTTGAGTCAACTTTTCTCCATCTTAACTGGTTGCAAGTGTGATTACTATATTGCCCACACCTCTTACTTGCGACAGGTATATCTAAATAAAAATTAAAGGAGCATCACATGCTTGAAAAGCAATTATTTCTTACAACTTAGACAGGGTGCCAATAATTTTGGCCAGTGCATTTTTGGGTTTCTGTGTGGGATTGTATCAGATTTGACTTTTCTTCTCTGTTGTTTTGTGTTGTTCCAATGCAAACCAAAGAAATGAACATGTGAGTACCAGAACATTTGCAACTGCAACAATTTTCTGAGAGAAGGGTTGCATTTTCTGATGGAATTGCAAGGGTGCCAATATTTTTGGCCATGACTATATATAAGGAGCCATTGGAATATATAGAAGTATTTCTTCTACCATTATAGTAGTTAGCTCTTCTCCAGTGGTTCCCCACCGAATTTCTTTAATTAGAGTTGGTATACTTTTGTTGTGGGTTAGTGAAACATCATTGAGAACTTTACGTTTTTGATTTCCAACTAGATGTGATATTTAACAGAATTCTTTTTATCAGTGTATATCATATGGTATTGAGTGCATGGCACCTCATATTACTGACATGTTTTGAAAGCTTTTGTGATTGCCTAAACCAGTGGTTCTTAACCTTTGTTACTCAGATGCTTTTGAACTGCAACTCCCAGAAACCCCAGTCAGCACAGTTGGTGGTGAAAGCTTCTGGGAGTTGCAGTCCAAAACTCCTGAGTAACCCAAGGTTAAGAACCAGTGGCCTAAACGAAATCCATGTATAATAGTGATGGACTATGTATGACCCTCCAGATGGTGTTGAACTGCAACTCTTGCTTTCATTCACACTTGCTTTGTGGACAAGGAAAGCCCGACAACCATCTGGAAGCACACCCTGGATGAAAACTGGCATTCATGTGATACAATTAGAAGTTGTCAGGAGAAGGTTTCCTAGATCAGATTAATGTAAAGTTTATTTCACATATGACTGAGAGTTTGGGTTGTCATCTTAATGGAAAAGATGAAGGTTGCACAGCATGAATTAAGTACAGGACACATGCTTTATTAAGAACAATGGAAGAATTAGCTGCTGTTGCTTACTTTGTATTGGAGAGAATAACAGCTTTAATGTCATACCTACGCGTTATAAAATAATGCTAGATGCAACAATAATACTGATTTTCTTCCAGCAGAGAAAGAACCAAGTTACTTAAGAAATCTTTCAATTAAATTTGTTTCTTTAAAAGGACTGAGCATAACCAGATAAGGGAACCAATAAAAAAATTAACACAATAAAGTGTCCAAGGTTAGAGGAAAGGTGTACAGAATTAAATTAGTGTAGGTACATTTTAGATAGCTCTTTGCTGTTTTTTGTCTTCTTTTTTGTTATTTCACTCCCCTCCCCCAGTGAGATGCAGTCGGTACGGATGTTATTGGAATATGGGAATTATGCCTTAGGGTCTTGTTTTTGGGTTACATGTTACATTGCTTCAGCATATATGATTAACATGCTTGGCCCTCCAACATCAGCTCCCATCATCCCTCATCATTAAAAATAACACCTAGGGCTATTGGAATTGCTGTCTCACAACATCTGGAGTCCCACATGTTCACCTTTTCCCTGGTGTAAAGAACGGAAAACCAGAAAGGGAGGAGTTCACTGTAGCTGAAAAGAGAGATGACTGCTTAAGCAAGGTTGTGGCAATGAGAGTATGAGGACAGTTGCAGGAACATAGAATACGGTCAGCAGCCATTTAGACAACAGAAAGGGAAAAAGCAACAAATAAATAAATTAAATTACACTTAAAAGAAAGAGAGAACATGGGTTCCTCTGGCATGAGACAAATGATCAATATGGATTTTATTCATGCATTGTATATGTATCATCCTGCAATTTTCTCTCATTTTCAGAATGAAGCAGAGAGAATAGAGGCAGAAGATGCATTAATATGTGAAGATTTGGATGATGAAGAGTGTGGGGAAGAGGAATTTGAAGAAACTACAAAATTAAAGCTGCTGAGAAGAATTGCCTCAATAGCTTCCAAACTGAAGGAGATTATTGGCAACATTATAACCACAGCTGGAAAAGTTGTTGTTACAATTCTGCTTGGTACAACAGGTGGGTCCTCTTAAAAAGTATGTTAGATTGAAAATTTAACCCAGGTTTTAGCAGTTACTGAGCATTAGGAATTGGCCATTCATCAGTTAAAGTAACTACATCTCTAGCTTGATGTACATGGAAATTAAAACTTCTTTGCTCATATTTTTAAGTATTTGACAACACCTGCATAGCTATACAAAGCATTCAGCATTGACACCTCAAAGCACTTATATTGCCAGGTGGACATTCATGAAAAACTGAAGTTCTATTGCTTAATTTTGATGTTTGGCAATAGTTACAATTTTGTAGTAGCTAACAGTTACATACCTATTATTCCAAATATTATTTACAGATAATTATCTTATTCATGCGTCCAACCTGAACACATACAAGGTGCAGAAGGAAATGGGGGCACACAAACTGGCTCATAATTCTTGTGAATGTCACCCCGCTCCCTCCCTTCTGGACCTTCACACATTCTTCTGGACATTATTGGAAGCCTCCCGTCATGTTCAGAACCCTATGCTCAGTTGAACATCCTTGGGACTTTTCTTCAGATATTTCTGCTCAACGTACAGAAATTGGTGGTGGAGAGGGGGAGCCATTTTGCATCGGAGCAGGGCTGATCAGTCTGTCCTGAGACCCTTCAGCACTTTATGCACTCACTTGTTCAGACTAACCGTCTAAACAGAATCAGTATTGTAGGGACACACATTCTACTTCTGTGTAAGAAGTAGAGTGTGTGTTTTTATATATCTACTAGTGTTTTCAATATGTGCCCAACTGCTTGGCTCTGTGGGAGGGGGGCAGGCTTGTCTCTAAAGCTAACAGCCTATTTTATACAAAATTGTCTTTTAAAAACTGTAGACAATTGGATGGATGATCACCTGAAAGAATATTATGTCCAGTTCTTTAGTAATCTGCATTTCTTAAAATCCCCATAAAATTTAACTTTTAGATAAATTAAAAAACATTCTTTCAAAACATACATATTTTCTCTCAAAATGTGTGTTCTAAATTCAGATTTCTAGACCCAAATGTTTTTTGAACTGAAAACTGATTACAAGAGAGGGCCCCTTTGGTGGCAACTCCCTGATTTAGAAGTCCTTACTCTGGATGACCATGCTAGTTTCCTCTCTCTTCCCCCCCCCGCCTCTGTTGGACTTTTTTTTCAAACAGTTTTTTTTGTCATTGAAGTCCTTTTTAATTAGTTTGGTTCCTTTTTATTGCTAGTAGAAGTAATAGTGGTAATACTATTATCATTAATGCATTTTATTTATTACTTTATTGGACAAAATCTTAATATTAACACTTTAACATTTTAATATTAATATATCAATTATAACTTTGTTTTTTTCCTTGTACTGTATTTTGTTATTGGTAATCTTTATTCTGTTTCTGTGGCAAGATGTAATAAAAAATTTAATACATAAAATGCTTTTCTGCAACATAGCCGTGAGCACAAACCATCTGTTCAATTTTTTACAGGAATGATGTTGCCATCGCTGACTTCAGCAGTGTACTTTTTCTTATTCCTGGGTTTGTGTACATGGTGGTCTTGTTGCCGAACATTTGATCCACTGATATTCAGCTGTCTCTGTGTGTTAATGGCTATATTCAGCGCAGGCCACTTAATTGGACTTTACCTATATCAGTTACAGTTTTTTCAGGAAATTATTCCACCAAATGATTTTTATGCCAGGTAAGACGCTTTCTTTGCATCTTTCAGTAAGTGGGCCTAAGACATATTTTTGAAAGGATTGTTTAATTACTGAACATATCAGTTTGTGACCAATGTGGGATGTATTTAGAGAAATGTAAAATGTATGAAGTAGTTTAGGGATAAAATATCATTTTAGTAGGATTTCCAGGGTAAAGAGAAATATTATTTAGGAAAAAGAAACACAGATGGGAGAAGGTTAAGCCTAGAGAGAGGAAAGGATCTGAAGCATATTGTTCTGTTGGCTGGGGAAGCTGTAGAACTTTTGTGCAATTGGTAACTTTTAATCAGATGTTGGATTAGTTCATTTTTTAGAGGAGGGGTCTATTTGACAATAACATTACAGCTATACTAAACAACAAGATTTTGGCCAATGAGTGTATTCTAATTGGGAATTACAACTGAATTTATGGAATATGTACTGTTTCTTGCGTGGACAGATCATTGAGCCTGCAGTTGTTTTCCGTGTTAATAAATTTTGCAGGGTGGCATGTTCACGTTCAGAAGAGATGTACTAATAATTATGCTACTGTAGTATATGGACATGTGGGGCAATAGGAAATTAAGTGATAGAAATAGCAGTAGACACCAGTTGCCAGAAGGGTGTCAAATGGGGATCTTTCTTTTTCTTTCTTTTCCCTTTGTTTCATCTTCTTATACTTACCTTTGTTAACTTCCATCTGTTGGAAGTACTGTACATATTCAGTATACAGAGAGTTCCCAGTTTGTTCTGAATAGCAATGTATGTCTGTTTCTAGAAAATGTTTGTAGAGTGATCCCCTGCCATCTAGAGGCAAGAGTTAAAGAACACAGTTCATGGTTTATAGGAGTTGTTGCTAAGGATCTGCTCCTGCTTTCTGTCAGGCAAAAACATGCTAGCACAAACTAACTTGGCTACCTCATCAAAAACTTCAGCTATCTGTGTCTTCGTGTGTATGCATGTGTTACACCAGTTGTTTAACACATAACAAAATTATGACAGCATTCAACCAGAAAAAAGTGTCTCAAAAATCTTCTTGCAATATCCACAAGTTGTGTTCAAAATTAAACATTTTAAACTAGGTTCCATTTTCTGTCAAAATACAGTTCATTTAGGGAATATTATAGTCTCCCTCGTTTGAAACATGCAAAATATGTCTCTTGTGTGCCCGGTCAGTCATGTTCTCCCAAAGAATTGTTGCGTGCTGAACCCCTAAGCGCTATATCAATAACATGGAAAGCAGAAGAATATTGACTAAGATCAGTCTATGAATAAATGGGTGCATTAAATTATTGTACTTCTAGCCCCAGAATAAATGCCTGCACTGGGTTTTTAGAGAGCAAAGGTTTTTGGTTTTTAACTTGGAAGGGAAAAGCAGCTGGCAAACAGTTTAACATTAATTCTCACTATAGTGTGGGCACTTACTGAAAATTAAATGCCCACACTACAGTGGAGCTTGCCATATTTTATTTAATTTTTAGTCTTGAGTAGGCAGTTAGGAGCCATTCGCTTTATCAAAGACATGCTCCTTATTTATTGATTCAGGCCAATCCAGCAGCCTAGCGTATTGGATTCACTTGGGGAGGGGGGTAGGTATTCCTTGCGTAATTATGTTGTAAACTACCCAAAGAGGGCTGTTGCGCTATGGAGCAATATATACGTAAAAACAACAACAGTCTGCATTTTTGGACTCTCCTTATGGCTGGCTATAGGGATTGTCATTATGGCCTCCCAACAACTCTATAGTGAGTGAGATCCCATGGCAGCCTCAAAAGCTTGGTGTCTGTGTAGAATTGGTAATATTTTATCCACCCCCCCAAAAAATCATTGTAGCTCATGATGTCATTAGACTTGCACAGCATAGCTTCATGAACAGGATTTTAGCCATTGTAAGGAAGCATTAAAAGGGGATGTGTTTCTCTAAACAGCACTGAAATACAGATTAGGATTCAGCCCTTTGTTCCTATACCACTGTTGGCCAGCCGGTTCCCTCAAAACTAACAGGATAATTCTGGAGTAAGGTCACTGTGTCTTTTTCTTTGTGTGGCTCACCATTGGTGCTCCTCACCCAGCCACCATGCAGCAACACATTTTTAGTGTACTGTAGCCTCTAAAGCAAGCCTGGGGAAGGTGAGGCTCTCAAATTGATGTTGGAGTCAAATTTCCATCAGCTGTAGGCAGCCTAACCAATGCTGAGGATGCAAGTTATACTTCAAAATCTACACAACCACACAAACCCTCATCTTTAGTCTAAAAAGTTGCCACTTGGGTGGTCCCAATGGGTGCTGTTCTTCAGTTAACTGTGGAAGCATGGAGAATGAATCTTTTCAGAGGTATACTCTCAAATATGGAATGGTCTCTCTAGAGATTCGTTCCTGAAACCAGTACTTACTTGTGTCTTTGTGGCTCCAGGAAAACACTTTTTCATTTTTCAAAGCTCTTCAACATGAATTAAAATATTGACATAAAAGTTTTAGTTATATATGATGCAGAGACACAGGTCTCTGTATTATAAGGTTTATAATTATTACTGGTAGTATGTATTTGTTTTTCCTTTGGTTTCGTTCTGGTTGATTCCTTTCACTTGATTTTAGTGCTGTGCCATGTCTGATTCGATTGTGTGAGGTTAGTTTTTTTTAAAAAAAAATAAATGTCTTAACAATACATTGACTAGAAGAATTAAGTTATAGAACAACAAATAAACACCTATGTTAGACGTTATTCCAAATATTATGTGTGCAGTGACAAATAAAGCCTTATCTCTGTAAATCAACAGCATAACCTATAACAAAACAACTTGAAAATATGCCACTTTCACAGTGTATCCCTCGGGCCATCTCTTATGGGAGATACATCCAAAAGCAGAAGATTAATTACAGTGAAGATAAGTGCAGTCTTTTGTTATCAAAATCCCTAAATGAATATCTTTAACACTTCCCCCCCACATAGTTTTTTAAAAAATGTAAATACAGTGGTGCCCCGCAAGACGATGTTAATTCGTTCCATTGAAATAGCTGTTTTGCAAAAACATTGTCTTGCGAAAAGCGTTTCCCCATTGGAATGCATTGATATCCATTCAATGCGTTCCAATGGGGAAAAATAGTCGTTGTCCAGTGAAAATCTCCCATAGGGAAGCCATTTTGTGAAGCACCGATCAGCTGTAAAATCGCTGTCTTACGAAAAATGGAAGCGCCGATCAGCTGTAAAAATCGTCTTGTGAAAAACGGTCTGCGAAGCACGGACCAAATTATCGTCCAGCGAAATCCCCCATAGGAAAAACCGTTTTGCGAATCGCTATAGCGATCGCAAAAAGTCATCGTCCTGTGGATTACCTGTTTTGCGGGGTAATGGTCTAGCGGGGCCCCACTGTATAACGATAGAAATGAGTTTCAGGCAACCTTGCAAGATGATTGTGTCTTTGCAGATTAGTTCAGCTTTTTGATCGGAAAGTACTGGCAAAAGAGTGAGAACAGCCATGAAAAATTTTGCCATTAAAAGCCAAAACATGGTGAGCGCTAGTTTCTAGTTTAGTGCCCTGTACATCCACAAAATCCTAGATTTGGTTTAATCCAAATTGCCCAAAGCCACAGTATGATATCTATTTAAACTGGGAGTATACTATGCTGTGCCAATTTGCCAGCAAGTTTGGAAAACTCAGCAGTGGCCAGAGGATTGGAAAAGATCAGTCTACATCCCAATCCCAAAGAGGAGCAGTGCCAAAGAATGCTCCAACTACCTACAATTGCACTCATTTCACACGCTAGCAAAGTTATGCTCAAAATCCTACAAGGTCGGCTTCAGCAGTATGTGGACCGAGTACTCCGAAGCTGGATTGCGAAGGGGCAGAGGAACTAGAGACCAAATTTCTAACATGTGCTGGATTATGGGGAAAGCCAGAGAGTTCTAGAAAAACATCTACTTCTGCTACATTGACTATGCAAAAGCCTTTACTGTGTGGACCACAGTTCTTTGGCAAGTTCTTAAAGAAATGGGAGTGCCTGACCACCTTATCTGCCTCCTGAGAAATCTATATGGGGGACAGGAAGCAACAGTTAGTATTTGGAACAACTGATTGATTCAAAATTGAGAAAGGACTACGACAAGGCTGTATCTTGTCTCCCTGCTTATTTAACTTATATGCAGAATACATCATGTGAAAGGCCAGACTGGAGGAATCCCAAACGGGCATTAAGATTGCCGGAAGAAATATCAACAGCCCCAGATACGCAGATGATACCACTCTGATGGTAGAAAGTGAGGAGTAATTAAGGAATCTCTTAATAAGGGTGAAAGAGGAGATGGCAAAATTGGTCTGAAGCTCAACATCAAAAAAACTAATATCATGGCCATTGGTCCCATCACCTGCTGGCAAATAGAAGGGGAAGATATGGCGGCAGTGACAGATTTTACTTTCTTGGGCTCCGTGATCACTTCAAATGATGACAGCAGCCACGAAATTAAAAGACACCTGCTTCTTAGGAGGAAAGTGATGACAAACATAGTCAAAGCTATGGTTTTTCCATTAGCGATGTATGGAAATGAGAGCTGGACCATAAAGAAGGCTGACTATTGAAGAATGGATACTTTTTTATTGTGGTGCTAGAGGAGACTCTTGAGAGTCCCCTGGACTGCAAGGAGAACAAACCTCTCCATTCTGAAAGAAATCAATCCTGTATGCTCACTGGAAGGACAGATCCTGAAGCTAAGGCTCCAATACTTTGACCATTTCATGAGAAGAGAAGACTCCCTGGAAATGACCCTGATGTTGGGAAAGTGAGAAGGAAAGAGGAGAAGGGGATGACAGAGGACGAGATGGTTGGACAGTGTCATTGAAGCTACCAACATGAATTTGACCCAACTCCGGGAGGCAGTGGAAGACAGGAGGGCCTGGTGTGCTCTAGTCCATAGGGTCACAAAGAGTTGGACACAACGACTAAACAACAAAAAACTACACTGAGTTCAGTTGGTCCATCTGCTGAATAAGTAATGAATAGGATTGTAC